ACAGGTTAAGGCTGACAAAGAAGTGAACCGCAGGGTGTGTGAGAAGAGTAAGTTGTCTGGCCTCTTGATCCATACAAAATGAGAACCATGGGATTGAATCGCATACTGCAGCGTTTTAACGAATGCGAGCATTTCATAGTTCCAAGTCTACAGTGATGCTTGGAAAAAGGAGACAAAATAACTGCGGCAGTGAAAGAATCTTGCTTCCATTCCAGTCATTTTATTGTCTGTTTGGTTCAATTTGTCAGTATTTTTAAGCCGCATTGATGATCATCTCCCATCATTTAGCATGTTTCCTGGTAGTGCATTTTTTATGGAATACACTTAGTTGCAAATACAGTTGATGCTCGAATGAAACTCGAATAATTTTTCATTTATGATATTTTTCCCATATCACTTGTCGCTTCTGTACCATGATTGTAATATGGACTGAAAATATAAATCCCAAATTCGGGAAAATGCGAGGAACGTCGTGCTGAGTTTGGCTACGAAGCAAAACAAAAGAACCAAATAGCGACTGTGGGTCATCAAATCATCATCTTCTGATTTCTTGAATATACGTCAGTTCAAGATGCTCCGTAGTTTTCGAACAAAATAAGAAAAGAGATCTCAGAAATCACAGCAGTTTAGCCACAAAGCAACTGAAGATAGGCAATTTCTGGCTTCAAGGCATCAACGTGGCTCGTGTACTTACCGCAGCTACACCATGAGTGATGGATACTTCCGTTGTCAGATCTTGTGCTTGTTCTTCTCACCCCGATGGATTTTAGCACACTGGGTAACAGTACTGTATTTTAGAAATCTCCCATTCCTTGAGTCAAATCCTAGACTCTGGATTACGAGAAATACTTGTTTTGATGTTACGTCGAAGGATGTCAGTAATGTGATGCTCTGAAAGACGGTCTGGCTCCCCCGATTCTTTGACCCGAAGTTCAATCCACCAACTTGAAAGACAATGCTCTTATCCCTGCCCAACAAGCCGCCTCACACAGAAGTCGTCCTATAACTATGTTTTATTTAACGAAGACTCCCGTATACATATCGTTGAGCTTAGTTGAGCTGCCGATCATGGCCTCGTTGACAATAATTATCGTCAAAGTTAGGTGAGTTCGACTAACTGATCCTTTGCAGGACATCTTCGGACTTAACGCTCTCTATATCTGAGCCCTTGATGAGTTTTGATGTTTTCATTCATTCCTTACAGAGCAAAATGTGCTCCTCACTTTGATCCAAGATTTCAAAATCTTTATCGATAAGAAAACATCTGAATTACACGATGATACTGACTTCATGGATAATGACTAGGTTTTCCATACCCCTTACGCGAGTTCACTTCGTTGAACACGGCTTATTATTTGCGTGCAACTCATAAACCACACGTAACGGAGTATAATTCGCACTTGTAGTGATTTTCAATACCCTCCTCTTCAATATGTTTGAAGGAGGAAGTTAAGATTATTCAGATAGGACTGCGCAACTATTCTGAGTGCAGTGAGACACTCAGCTTAGCAACAGACGAAGTTGATTTCATTCGAACCCGAGGTGTTTACGTGAGAAGCTGATGGCGATGTGCAAGAAGTTGGGGAACAGCAGTATGGAGGTTATCGGCAGGCACACTAACGGACAGGAGCTCACGAACTTTGCAGAGCCTACTTACTTACTTACCTACTTATTCATTGACCAAATATTTAGGAACATCAGATTGCACTCCAGCTTCTTTGCATCCCTGCCCACCCTAGGGTTCCCACCAGCTATTTGATAGGGTTCCGCTTGATAGGACGCAAGGCTATCGTAAACTTTGGAGTGTTCCTTGATTAGCCTGGATTACAAGAATGGGCATGACAGACTGCTGACAACTGTGAACATTAGTGCAGGGCTTAAAACTAGCCAGTCCCGTTCAAACAATATTTCCTTATACAGTAAGATAGCCCAGCTCATGTGTTAAGGAGACAGCTTACTGACCGAAAGGTTTATGGTTCGAACCCAACCCCGCTACCTCGACTGCTCTTGGCTTAAGCAACCTGACAGTGTCTCGGCCCTCGTGCTTTCCTCAGATGGAATGGCAGCTAGGAACCGAAAAGCAGTTACAGTTAAACACTCATTATATTTCATTTCCGCAAAGAAATGCCTATTGTTTACAACTGTGCTTAATTGTGTCTAGTCAGGTAATATCGCTGTCCAAATACCAACGCTTTCCAGTTCCCCATAAATTCACATCCAAACATGTCCATTTTCCCCCAAAGATCTGTAGCCCAACTTAGTTCTTTAACTGCAGCTTATGTTAAATAAAGGGATTAAATATTGATGCTTTCAGTCCAGAGCCGTAAAACGCTTGTCAACTGGGCTGTGCTTACGAGCATACTCCTTACTGACCAGTCGCCTGAACACGACGTAATCCGAAACCAAGACTCTTGTCGTATTGGTCGAGCTTCTGTGTGGTAATGATCATGTGGGCGATACTGTCTGGAACCCAGTTGCTCAATGTTCAACCATACCAAGAAGACCAAAAGGAAGCAGCCAAACAAAGAACTACGAGTAATCGTACTACGAGGCAGTCAGTCTGGAGGTAAAGTCGTACTGTCCTCTGTGATAGGAGTGTAAGGGCAGTAAGGTGTTTCAACCAGGCAACCAACATGTCCATATTTATGGAAGCAGTGATGCCGTCCTCCTCTGCAGGACGGGTCAAAAAAAGGTCGGTCTTAAAAACCGCACACTCCGATCGCCCAACAGCCGACTGGGACCGACGTCGCATTATTGAATACGGTCGAAATGCTTTTAAAAACAAAGAATCCAAGGCTGCTCAAAAGGTACCCGTTGTACGCAGACGCATTAGGAGTGAGACAGTAATGCCTGTATCCTCGGGCCAAGCCAGCCTCCTGCAGCCAAATGGCTCAGGCTCTCGAGTCATCTGCTCCGGGAAGGGTCCCACAACAAAACCCCAAACAACCGCTGCCTCGTGATTCAGAATTTAAAGTCAGATGCTAGGGGCAGAGCCCCCAAACAAAACCCTATATACTTCCACTGCATTTTGGGTCAGACTTTGAGTCTTAGGCTTGGTCAACCGGAAGCAACCCTTCGCTCACCGGCCTTCTCCCATAAGCTGACCACCCGTCGAACGGTGCGTTCCGATCAACGCATCTGCCAGTCCCCTAGCCATTGTTGCGTGTTTGAATTATCGGAAATTAGCGGGAAATCAAACCAAAATAATCACTTACTAACCTCGAGAGATCTTATCCACATTGCAGCCTTTAATATCCGTACTTAAATCAAATCGGGTAACAGACATCTCTTACTGAACCTTGCTTACCCTATCCGTCGATGTATGTTGTATCTCCGAAACACGCATCCAAGACTGCACTCCAGCCGTGCGCCTCAAGCGCCCTACTGGACTGAATATCAGTAAACAGTCGTTTTTGGGCTGCGCATCTATCTGGCTCAATTAAGATCAATGCGGGTGGATGCTGTAAACGGTGTTTACTTATCGTATCAGCACACGCCCCAACAGATTGCAGTTTTGAGACTGAAACGGATGGGTTTTATCAAGAACCCCAAAAGACTGTTTTGGTCAGCAAGAGGGATGGGTACTGTAATACTAGCGGGTGATATGAATGCTCAAGTTGACTACGTCCGGAAGTCGATGCTCAGCGTACAGATAATGGGGAGTGGCTGTCTGTTTTCTGGTCACCACCATCTGTTCCTGACCAGTACGAACTTCAAACTGGAACTCAACTGGACCATGTGGCTATCAGTTACCGATGGAGAGCGTCAATTAAAGATTGTCGTAATTTCTGGGGTACGAAGCTTGACTCTGATCATGCCATTTTGTGACCCCGGCTATCGATTCGCTTTCCTTCAGCATTACGCGTGCGGAAGCATAGCAGTTCCATTCGCCAAATTTGGCAAGTTTTATTGGCTCACGTGGCTGACGAAGATAGAGATTGAATGGAAGCGAGTGAACGCCCGAACAGTTCCATTCGTCAAATCCGACAAGTTTCAGTAACCCAACATCATCGAAATGACTTGTCTAAGCTATTGGGAACGCAGTCGTGCGAATGGCAAAGATTGTTTGAACATGACGTCAGTGTGCGAAAATGTGTAGAAACTCACTGACCGGATTCGGCGCCTCGTTCTTTTCTGAAAATTAGAACATATCCACTGTCACACAGCTGAACCCACCACATACATCTAAGATCGGCGCCGATAAGAAATTCAGTCGAATTACGCGACCTTCGTTGTTTTCACAGCGAATACACGGTCAAACCTGAACACCGAACGTTGAACCCATACAACCAAGTACCCTAAACGCATTTTGTCCAGATTGTGTATATCTCCGCCTATATAGTGAATGTAGTGCACCAACCAAACGATGTAGGGTCACGTGTGGAATGCGTGTTTATGCGATCTGTGCGTTGGCTGCGTTTGTGATCGAAACTCCGTGAAAACAACCGAAAATTTAGTCATTACAACGGTCCTACTAAATGAGGTATAAAAATAGGAAGTGAAGTAGAACTCGATGAGTTACAACTATTACCAACTCTCCTTGGTTAGGGTACGGTCGACCTCTTCGTAAAGGCTACCTCCCGTTAGCCCATTCCAATTCATGTTCAGATGAACAAAATGTACCAACGCATGTTTGTCATGCGGGATAACTATATGGCCTAGATGAGTCCGTCAATCATGTGTATCATCAGGATCGGATGCTCATTGAGGATACTGGTTATCATTGGGCCACAGAGAGGCAGGACGACTGAGAAACGGCTGTAGCACCCTTTCGGTGCCTAACTGCCATGCCACACGAAAGAGGCAGGAAGGCTGGGATCCTGCCAGGTTGCCCAAGCCTAGAAGGAAGCCTAGGAGAAGTCGAGAGACAGAGGTCGGGTTCGAACCATGGACCTTCCGGTCAGTAAATTCGCGCTTTAACCACTTGGGCCATCTCGCTAGTGGACCCGGGCTTGGAAATTCTAGTATGTGGCTCAGGTAAGCAAAACGAGAATCCGTAACACAGAGATATCGTTTATTCCGTAAGAAAAATACTATTTATAATTTACGAATGATTTCGGTTCCAGAAAGACTAGGAAAATGAGTTCACAATGTACGCACAACATATGAAAACAAAGTAACAAAATAGGAGATATAAGGAACTGAAAGCCACAAACACTTCTTAATCAAAAAAGTTAGCGGGTTAACAAACCATCTGGAAAAAATCACAAGATGTATTGAATTCCAAACCAGAGAAAGCGGTGATGGAAATTGAACACACACATAAACATACGAAATTATGGATGCTCAACGGTGTGTAAAGTGACCGGTGAAGAAATTCTGTATGGTTTCGATGGAGACTCGGTTTCCACACGGGGAACTGATGGTACTTCTGGGGAACAACACATCACCGCTCGAAGCACGTCTGCGACTAGGGCAAAGCTCAAAAGGATACTCAAAACTAACACTGAAGTGCCAAGAACATAGGTGTATCGGTGAAACACAGCAAGGTGATGAAGGTAGGCGACAATCGGAGGGACCAGCATCTGTCCCAGGTGTCCAGCCAACTGAAGACGATGAGTGCCATCTGTGTGATGTACCACCAACAGTGAGTCAACACCTGAAGAGGAAACGCCCACCCCTAGGCCGAGAAACAGGCTACCACCAAGCCATGTGAAGTAGTTGTGGGACACGGGCCGTTGAGCAGCAGTTGGAATTGAGTCAAGTTTGTAGCGGGCAGTGGATACGGAAAGACGAGTAATAGCCACTGCACTGATGACGCAAAGAACAGATCCACATAGACGGATCATGGACAGAAGCCAGCGCGTCGAACTGAGGGATGAAGCACACAACACTGGATGCAGACAACTATACGACAAACGGTTGTATCCAAGATCAACGAATAAATAAAATGCGAGGTAGCTAAGCGAACGGTAGTTCTCGCTACATCCTTTAAACAGTGCGAAGTTGTGTGAAGTAACGAACCGAACGTCCAGTTTCGGTTCCCCAGACTACAGAACTGCTCGGTAGGTCTAAAAACCTGCGAGTCTATCAGGATTTGAAGACATCTTATTCGTACTACCATCTGTTGAAAAATATATCCTGGTTTGTGTGCAAACTGACAGGAACGGAACCATTCTATTGCTCCTGTTCTGTCAACATCAATCTGAAAGTTGAGGACAAAATATCACAGCGTCTCCACGAGAATCGGGTCTCGGTTACTGCGAAAATTAGGTAGCGAAATACCAAAAATGTCGTTTGTCTCGTTCAGCTGTAACACCGTTCCGGTACCTAGCAGCCACGCCACCCAGAGGAAGCACGAGGGCTTGGGCACTGCCAGATTGCCCAAGCCTAGACGGGGAAGTCGAGAGACAGAGATCGGGTTCGAACCACGGACCTTCCGGTGAGTAAATTCGCGCTCTGACCACTGAGCCATCTCGTTTGTCTCAAATCTTTTTTGAAAGCTTGATCGTTCAGCTGTAGCACCCCTTCGGTGCCTAGCTGCCATGCCACACGAAGGAGGCACGAGGGCTGGGATACTGCCAGGTCGCCGAAGCCTAGAGCCTAGACAGGGGAAGTCGAGTGGCAGAGGTCGGGTTCGAACCACGGACCTTCCGGTCAGTAAATTCGCGCTCTAACCACTTGGTCCATCTCGCCCCCTTTTGAAAGCTTGGAAACCTAGTGATTGGCCATTTCTCCGCTGCTTCTTCTTTCCTTTCTTTGCTATAACCTTTTCCCCCATGATCATATGGCAGCCAAGTACCAAGATTTGCTACTTTTGTATTACTAACAGTACGTAACGGAAAGTTCTGACCTTCCAACTCCCAAACACTATGAGAGCCCAAATGAAAATACGTTTCTACTCCACTTCACAAAATGATAAGTGAACATTCAAACATTAATGTGTTTTATCTTTACACACTACATCCAAAGGGATATTCATAAACGAGAGATTCAACTGGGATTCAGATGAATCTCTAGAGAAAACAAAATTGGTATGCAAATTATTGTGTCTATCGAGCATTCCACTCTAGTTATAAATCCTCCTCGCAGATAACGGTGATCAAACTGGGGCGGGTGTATTGCATTAGGGTGTGAGCAGAATAGTGGGCACCTGGATCATATTTGGGCCCTCATGTAGTGAGTCAGAGCCCGACAACTCCACGGGACTACTGGTTAAAGATTTGGTGAGAAGGCAATACTGCGACCCTATATCCTTGTTTACCACGAGGGCTAAAATACCGCAAGGTTGACCAAGCCTAGACAAGAGCAGTTGAGTTGTAGAGGTTGGGTTCGAACCACGGACCTTTGGACCAGTAAGTTCTCGCGCTATTTGGACCTCACAGAAATATATCAAATGCGGAGAAACACGCCAACCACAATCAAGGATGAAAATGGTTCGAATCTGAAAACATCTAACTTACCTTGAAAGCAGTGAAGACCAAGAATGACTCGACTGTAGACTGTTTGAGCGAGTACCTCGGTTGGAATGTGACGACAACTTGGTTTCGACCAGAAACAGGCACGGAAGCCTACCTACCAAGCCGCCCAGCCAGAACAGACTGAGTGCTAGGGAAGCTACGGCCTGTTAAGAGACGTGGAATTGAAAGTAATTATTGGAAAATGTTTGGGACCGATTGAGTAGTCATCGTTTCAGAGAGGCTTGATAACCAATCGGTGGATTTATTCCTGGATTTAGTGTGCGATTTAGTGTTTTACATTGACCAGACGGAGGAGAAACGATACAATGTTACCAAAAAAAGATTTGGATTTTCAGAGAGCAAATTGAGAGCACCAAGCCACCTCTTGCTGAACAAACGTGTAATGAGGTTTGAGATGAATTCTTCAACTGAATCACTTACATCCGTGGATTCCTCAGACCCAACTGTTCTAGGTTTCGTATGACTAAGAGAGGTCTCGTTTTAAAGGCATCATGATATTTGAGTTTAGTTTGTATTGTACTCTAGAGTGATTACTAACAAATTGAATGCGGAAGCTGTAAGAATTCCCCTATAGGGATTAGTTCCTACCCCAATCACGGTATTCTTACTGAAGCAACTGGTGTGATTGCTCCCGCTCCGTACATATGAAGCACGATGGATAAGAAATTCCGCATTCAAACCAAAAGAGAAAATTTTATTCAAAAATAAATAAGAAAACCTTTCACATCAGAAGCCATGCTTTTCCGCAAGCGAGTCAAACACAAAAAGTTTGGTCCAGATCAGTCTAACCAAAGGGTGAACATGGGACGCAAAAACATTACAAATTCGATGCATCGAATAATTGGCTGTGGTCATCATCACCGTTATCAACATGATCAAAGACAGCGACATTAGTGTTGACACTGACGGTTCACTGCCATACAACCACAAAGTTAATCTAATTACATTTTAAGTCTTAACGTGAAGAGAAAACAGTAGGTGGGGGAAGAACGTATCCCGAGAATTCCGAAGGGGTTTACATCTATACATTAAACAAAATAAACCGTTCAGCTGCAACACCCCCATGGTGCACAGCTGCCAAGCTACCCGTAAGAAGCACTAGGGCCGCGATACTGCCTGATTGCCCAAGCCTGGAGAGGAGCACTCGAGATGCTAAAGTTGGGTTCGGACAATCAACCTTCCAGCCAGTAAGTTCGCGCCTTAACCACCAAGCTATCTAGAGGTATGTAAAAGTACCTACAACCTCCAGTGATTCTCCTTCAATTGTAACGGGTATGTTCAGAGACTGCATTCTAAGAAGCATGACTTTACACTTTGAAGATGCGAGGCATATGCAGAAGGATGTTATAAGGGCGGTCAGTTTATTCAAAACGGCTTGTGCTTCGTCTTCAGTGATTAGGACGATATCGTCTGCGTACTCCAGACCAACAAGGTTCTCACTAGCAAAGAGTTGGACACCAGGGTTTAGAAGATCCTCTAAAGTCCAACTTGTCGTTTCATCACGAAATTGAACATGAAAGGAGAGAGCGAGCTTCCTTGCCGGATACCACGTTTTGTAGGGAAGCTTTTGGAGAGCTCACAGTGCATTCCCACAGGCCCAGAAATATTTGAATATAGGGTCGTTCCCAGTTGAGCAAGTGTTTAACAGCACTTACCGATCGACAGAAACAAACGTACCGCTGAAGTCAAGGATCGTCGTACGGATGGCGATGCTGTAACAACTGAGGGAGTGTGTAGATGTGGACGAATCAGCTTCTACCCGGTCGAAATCCCGCTTGATGCCCACGGGTCCAGAATTCGTGCGCCACCGTAAGACGACGAAGAATCAGTGGCGCCGGAAGCCTTTCCACAACGAAAGTCAAGCTGGCACCTCAGTGTTTACCGCATTCGCTGCGAGTATCTTTTTTTGAAAATGGGTACCAGTAACGACTCAGCTCAGGTGTTTCTTTCTCCCAGATAAACGCTGATAGGCTAGACATGCACTAGATAAGGAATTTGCCGTCATCCTTGAACAGAGCAGGCGGAAGGTTGTCAGAATCAGCACGATGAGGCTTGAGGGGATGTATTCACTCGGACACCTCTGAATCTGGAGTTGGTTCCAGGTTTGCAGTCCACCTTTATGCTGAAGGCCGGCATCCCGGACTGGTCAGGCATGTGTAGGAAGGATGGGTTCACACAAAGGTACCAAAGTGAGTAAGAAAACCTGTACACCGTCAGTGCGATTCGAACTTGATAATTGGGTCCGTTTGCCCCACCCGTGCAGCTGACTGGAGATCCTGAAGGATGCGCTGAGGTGGAGCGAAATTACGTATGTATGCGTATGTATGTACGCATGTATACCTCACCCGTTCGTCATAGGGGTTGGCTATCCATGAAAGTAAACGACAATACGTGGCAGCTCAGAAGCGAGAGGGATCACAGCTGTTGCTTTGCTCAAGGCGGCAACATCACGCCCGAGTCCAGGTAAGACGTGAACCGGCGATTCTTCAACCTTAAGAAGAATGGGTTGCGCAGCTACTATTTCATACACACATGCAAACAGGAACGCAACTTGAGGCACGCGGAAATCACTGGGGCTCTGTGTGCAAGGATCTGAACGATAATTAGTTTACCTGCGACGTTCTGGACCCTGGGCTGAATGAGCTGATTCAGAAATCTTCGCAGCGGAAGTCACAAAATAAGTATTTTGTATCGTGCGGAGTACAATCATGTCTATCAGACTAAGTATCCCAAGGAATGAATCCCCAGGATACAAGAAATGTCGAGATGCACTGGCACCACACCCCAGTCCTCTGAAGCTCCTCAATCCACAACAAACTTTTTCTGAACCAGTTTACTACAAGTGGACAGCAGCAAGCACTGGTGTCTAAAGCTGTGTTGCTGTGAAAGATAATGTGCTGTACACGCGAATAGCCTGAGCAACTCACAAACATATCCTGGGGGTCCTCTGGAATGAAACATGTAATCTGTGATCACGTGATTCGGTCTTCTTTCTTGTCACTCGATGGTAACCAAACGTATCAGGAAGAGTGTGAGGTAACGGAAAATGAGGTGACCTAAACTCACAGGGTTCCATAGAAGATATCGTATGGTAAACCAATGGATAAAGGCTCCATAGGTGGTTTCCAGGCCAATATTTAAGAACTGAGCAATTAGAAGCCATGCATCTGAAGGCCAGTAGATACGAGGCCAGGCAGGATTGACTAGAGGAGTTGGCGGTACTCCATCAAGATGAACTGAGTTGCGGTCCATTGAAGTCAAAGGAACCGGTGCTGTAGGCAACCATCTTTTCATGGAATTTGATGCTGTCAGTTTGGTTTTATCACCCGCCAGTTCCGAGTCGGAAAACACCTCACAGGCTGAAAGATAATGAGTTTCATCGATATCCACATCACTTCGGTAACCGCAAGTTGCACCTTTGTAATCTGGAAGTTGTTCGTCTGCAAATGAAGTGACGCAACGCCAAAAGACGTAACGAACAGAAACATTCAGCGGTAAAAACAACCTGGCTACACCAACTATACATCAATTAAAGTTTGCGAGGTGGCGCAGCTAAAATCCTCAGATACCACAGGGAGTAAACTTAGTTGTGTCCCATAGTTGATGCGTTTTTCATTTCTGTGGTAAAATATATTCAATAAAATGGCCGTTTCGAGGTAGGACGTCGGTGGAGGAAAAGCCGAATACATAAGTGCTGTCAGCCACCGAATTAAACATGCATACAAGCCGATACCACAGAGATATATACCGAAAACTCGTAGCTTCACAGAGCAAATACGTGACAGCATAAAACCAATTAAATGCAAATATTGCCTCCATTGTATACGTACGTCTTTTAGCAACCTTTCACAAATATAGGTCACCAAAATGCGACATTGTCAAAGGCACCTAGCAGGGTTTGACGTCGTTTCCTAAAGGCAACAGCAGCAAAACAACTACCGTCCGTCGTACAAAATGCGTTCGTAGGGCGACAGCGCACGGCCAGTGAACAGGTATTGATAAGGGAAAACTAGATTTTCTAATTGCATTGACCGGCGAATAAGAAAACAATATCATCCTGACAGTCTTACGACGGTGGGGACAGAATGTTGCCAGCTGCTTACAACATACCAGTAAGCATTCAGAAAAAAACAGGATCAACACCAGTATATGCGAGACTGTGTGCGTGGGTAGGCCGGAATACAATACGTACGAGTTAATTAGCTCTAAGGCAGTATTCAGGTGAATGGCGGGTTCCAAGCAATCTTCTAATTAGTCAGGTGCGGTCCCAAACACGGAGAGTCATAAGGTGATTCTTGGATTTTCATCGGGGTTTGACTCGACTTTACGGGAAAAATACTCTCCCCTCAACTAGAATACCATAACAAAAGCATCAAATAGATTACACACTGGAACTCGTATGCTTTCCTTGTTAGCTCGTTGGCCTGTGCTCCTTTTACAGTAATACCTCATAAAATGACGACCCACGAGACGCTTACAGTAATTCGGATGACAACCGTGAGTGGACAGAATTTCTGATGTCCAAAGAATGAAGTGGAAGTAGCAAAAACATGCTATTTCACACAACTTCGCAAAGAATGCACCCTGAAAAAATATAGAGAAAAAACGGGACAGCAAGGGGGATTCCGGGTGCCTAAGCCTCCAGCACTGTCAAGCATACTGGGTAAAGACTGACACTATGAACGTCACATAAGTTAGCCCATATCGTTGTGTTTCCAACCAAGCACATGGAAGGTCACGTAGACCGCATCCTGGAAGGCGAACAGCAGTGACGGCACTCAAATCCGTTCATTCCCTTCTGCCAAGTCAAATTCTCTCTAGACTTCCTTAACTCCGAATTAGACACGCAGCAGATGTAACAATGATTCTGTCACCTTAGTTTGCAGTGATGGTTGTGTTATCTGAGTTATGTACCGTCTGCTTCAGCAAATACATGTTTTCCGATCATCTCATTGTGAACTTGTTGGTTCAAGCCGATTCCAGTTGTAGTTGAGGCACCAGTCATCAAAGGCCTGAAGATGTCCCTCTGTCATAGGGCTTTAATCATATAAACTGGCATAGCTGCAAGGCATCGAAGCACCAGTGTTCTAATCTGATGTTGCTGTCACATATGAAAGAGGATTAAGCAGATTCCAGGGCAGCTTTATTGCACGGTTTAGCTTCTAAGAGTTTTGTCTAAACGGAGCACCATGTGACCCCGTGAACTGAGTACAAAGTTTGTGGAGTTCAACTACAAGTAATCGTTTAGACCCAACTGGGTCAGAATGTACACAAAAAGAATACAGAAGCAACAGACTTCCGCAAGATAGCTCAAAGACGACAAGTCAAGATTCGTTCTATTCACGTAATCGCACCTGACTAGCAACATATCTAAAATCAAGGTGTACCGAAAAACACTGAACTGAGAAGCATAAAGTGAGCAAGCGTAATCCGTCCCCAAACAAACAAGTATCAAACGGACATATCAGATTGCTCATTCAGAACTCAGACAGCTATTCTAGTCAAGATCAATTTTCCACGGCCAGCTGAGATAAAGCAGCTGTCAGTTCCTGAGTAGCTCGGCCTATTGGTTGAGTCATCACCTTACCAACGAGCAGAGAATACTAATGAGGTGGTAATAATAATAATAATTCAGATGTAAGACCCTTTTGGTGCCTGGATGTTATGCCACCCAAAGGAAGCCTTAACCAATGGGCTATCCCGGGCTCCCAAGGGGATGAGGGACGTCGTATAATCAAGGGGCGGTGGTGTCAAAACAATGCAGCTATAAGGAGGGATCGCTATCATTTTGCATATAGACAAAATGACTTGTGATAGAATAATAAATCAGGTAACCTTGCATACGCAATTAGCACAACGGGTCAATAGAGTAGATGATGCATGGAGAAGTCCGACAAACACTAACCTTCACAAGGAAGTAACGGGTGACGCTCCACATCGTGTTGTGACCCATTTAGCTTAGATGAGCCGTTCCCCATCGTGGACGAACTGGAACGAAGTCTGCGCAGCCTCAGTTCTTCACCATTACTGCTTGCGCTGGATGGGGATATGAAGCAAGTGCAGGAAGGACACCAACCAATCAGCGGTAGTATAACCAACCAAAGCAGTAAACCCATTAGGCCGAGGAAAATATGCAAACTTTGGATTGGCACCAAAGGATGCAAAAAGGATAAATGATGTGTTGGATGCGTGTGGGAGCGATGCTCAGCGATATGTGCGTAGGTAGCTGTAGCGACAGGTGACGTACCAGGCAAATGCGTTGTGGTTGCCGCGGTTGGAGTCTGTGAACTGATGTTTGCAATGTTGCTTGGTGTAGTTGAAACAGGAATGGAAACTGACTCAGGATTGGATGCGTTCAAAGTAGATGTGGTAGGTGGCACCCCAGTCGTTAAATTGACATCCAGGGCGAAAGACGGTTGTTGGCTAATAAAATTAGTAAGATTAGCGTTTTTGTTCTGTGGCACAACTTCACTGGTTCCGTCCGGAGATAAGCTAGACGAAGTGACATCTGGTAAGGCGGGTTTTGTTGTACTGGTTGTGGCATCGCTTGATTTAGCGTCAAGTAGAGGTTTAAGACCTGTTTGAGTATTACCAGATGAGGGTGGGGGTAATCCAGCAGCACCCCCAACAGTGTCAATACGACGATCCTCCCCGAGTTGTTTCATTTTTGAAGCAGTCTGACTGCCATCTGCAGACGATGAATCCTGGTTCAAGTGCTTCGCATCATTCACTGACGGCTTAGTTGGAAGAGAGCTCACGGAGAGGCTAGCATCCGAAATCTTTGACGTAATTTCTACCTTTCGACCAGTAGAGATGTTTGTTTCAGGTGTCAGCGGCGACACTAAAGTTTGCGGCGTTGTCAGTCCTTCTGAAGGGAATTCTTGTGTTGAGAGTAGTGAGTGGTTTGGCTGGACAGTGGACTGGGCTGACGAGAAATTGGTGAGCAGTGCGGCTCGTTTCAAGCGCTTCCGTTGAGTCATGTCTACGTTGGGTACCACTGCTTTCAAGCTGGCTGGGGAGATATCGTTAACAGAAGACAGATTTGTCGGTACGAACGACGAAAGACTGTGTAACTGTGGCAATGCAACTTGGGCCGGAAAGAATGGAAACGCCATGAAAGGAGTTACCACACAACCCACAAGACAGGCGAACATCATATGTTGCGACCAGCGTGGCTTTGAGTGAAGGAATGCAACACGAGCGTAAGCCAGACAACCTGAAGGTGAACAAATAACACCCATGAACGACTAACAGCAAAACGACGAAAAACACGGAAAACCTAAGTAATACGCTTAACTTCAATCATATTTTCCGGTTTGAAGATCACAAATATTGTCATCATCATCGTCAGCAGCAGCAGCAACATCGACAGCATAAAAATAGTGTTCAAAACTGATGCTCCACTGCCGTAAAACCATGATTTATTTGAAAGCTTTATTGCGAAGAAAAGAACAAAAGTGGACAGGGAGGGGATTTAGGGCTAGGTCGTCACAATCATTCCGAGAGGCCCAAAAGACGTGTTTCTAAGCTGAATAAAGAAATCGTTCAGCTGTAGCACCGTAACTGCCATGCCACCCGAAGGTTGCACGAGGGCTGGAATACTGTCAGGTTGCCCAAGCCTAGACAGCGGAAGTCGAGAGGCAGGGGTCGTGTTCGAACCACGGACCTTCCGGTCAGTAAATTCTTACCACTTCTTACCACTTGAGTCGAATAGGTAAGTGAATTCAGCTTTCCTTCATATTTTGAGTGACTGACGACGTCTTTCCGACTGGGAACGAGACGTTTGCAAAGCAATCGCCAAGTTCGGCGAGCAGATCAACAATAATCTGATCAACCATTAGTAAACACACCAGAGCTACCAATATTTCGACACAGTGGCAATACGTGCTTTAGAACACTGACAGCAGTACACCCTACCAACGACTAGTATGACAATGGCATTTCTGTGATGACAACGGAAACCCAGGCAGCAATTGAACCATCAGTGATTCATTTCCCCACGAATTTTCCCATTTGCAACTGATCTGTTTGCATCAACAACGGAAGACATATATAATCCCTACAATCGTTGGGACGAAAAACCAAATCCTACCTACCAAATGTGATACGCGTCTGACGGTCACAAGTGATAGCGAATTCGCAGCCATGGTCAACGACCGCTCTGCTTGAAGGTTTAACCAAAAGAGATGTTTCCATTTTGCTTTTGGACCATCCTACACATATGTGATGGGATTACCATAATTCGCCATGGTTTTGTTGTGCCGAATATTGGGTGCCAGGTCCTCCACAAGACGTACCCATATCGTAATATCCTTGAAAAATACACGAGACGCCTTACTCTGTTAACAACCGCTGCTGTCCAGGATTGCGACAGGTTATTTTAAAGGTTCTCCGGTGAATCCGACCATCAAAGCCGTCTGAGCTCCAACTTCTTATCAAATCCCTCTAACAAGGACAATATCGGATACAACTAGTCACCCGTATACTCAGCCGCGATATCCAGGTTGCTGGTGGCTGGAATGCGATAACTGCGATATCAAACGACACCAACAAATGCTGCGTCCCTAGAAAGCTAGGCCTAGGGCAACGCTGCGAAAACGGTGATCAACTGATCGACTCTGCCGCCCACAATCGATCCGTCAGTTCGGTTACACGTTTCCAGCTTTTGAGTCATCCGCTAACCTGATATTCCAGTGATGATTACACTGAGGATGTGCCAGATAAGCTGCTGAATTCCACCAGTCTGATACCACGAGACACAGAGCTGTGTGGGTAAGTGATACTTCTCGGATGTCCATGTTAAGGAAAAGCGTCTAGTCGAGTCACCCTATCATGAGACTTTGACCCAAAAGACAGTTTTCTTTGGGTACCCCGAGCCCATGACTCAGATCTGGCCTGATCGACTGCAGGAAACCGGCCTAATCAGACGGCTCAGGTAATATATTTCATTACTGATGCTGACGCACACATCTGAAGCGTTCCGAGCCACACCCAAATCGTGGTAAGGCCTATTCTGTTCTACGACTGTATTGAATAGACCGTCGGTGGTGATAACCAACCGCTCGGCGACCAGTATGTAGTTTTGGAGACCAAATTATTCTAACCCGTTTTTCCTCGTGGGAAGCTAACATCACTGGTTCCATAAATATGGACATTCTGGTCACTTGGGGGGAGGTATCTTACTGCTTTCACACTCCTTTCGAACAGGACTGTACAACCACACCCACAGACCGCCTCGTAATACGATCACTCGTAGTATGGGTTTTCGCTACTCCTGATGCTTTGGCCTTCCTAGTATGGTTGCACCTAATGGAGCAAAGTTCTAGCCTATGCAACCCGGGGGATTATGACAGCACTCAAGCCCGAGCACCACATCACGCTGGCAGCCTTAGGCCGGGACCAGCCACTCTAAGTGGTAGACAAATCCGTTTACCCGGTATATGGGTTCCGGTGGATGTTAAAATCACTTCTAGAATCAGGAAAGCAAGGGAAGCTTTGCCAAACTTTAATAGCTGCGGTGCCGGGGCGAAAACAGTTTGTCTGTAAGGGCAGGGCAGCAAGATGATTCGTTGTACGCTGTGGATCAGATGTTTGCAATGTAGATGTTTGACCGTCGGTGTCTAAGAAGTGGCCGGGTCTGGTGGGGTGCGCCAGGTGATTTAATTAAAAACAGATCTCCCAGGATAGATGAAGCACTCAGGCTTCATTTTTAATTTGGTTGATACATGATCTTCGCGAGTCATGGGACCGTCTGTCTCATTTTGCCCAGCGCTTTGCTGAGTGGAAGAAGCTGAGAGGGGACGGTCTATGAGGCCTGACTAACAGTCTCCTGGGCTTCCAGGTTAGGGGTTAGAACATGTGGGGTGACTTCCTCTTTAAAAATGTAAGCTGCTCTGACGGTCTTGCGCAAACCAGTGATACCACGCGGTTAGCTTCTTAGCCAAAGAATTTGAATGCGAACACAAATCGTTCTCCTATCTAGGTTTGTGCATCCAGGCAGTACCCAAGCCCATATGTAACCATGAATTGCAAAGTAGCTAGACCTCCTTCTGTAAAGGACGCCTCGAGCACTAGATCAAGCACTTTCAAACAAATCTCATAGCAACCACTACCAACTCTGGACGGTGAACCTGGAATCTCCTACAGCCTCGGTGGTTTACGGTTGCTTATGTTGTATCAAGCGAGACCGAGCTCCTGGTTCGGATAACCTCCCATCCGCAGTGTTCAAAGTGAGAGTGAATTTCTCAATCAGCGCTTGTCTGATCTATTTGCCTGCACTCTGAGAAAGGAGTCTTCAACAACTCAAGAGAATCGGTGATAATGTCCATTTTCGAAAGGGGGCCCATAGTGAGTGCGGCAACCACAGGTAGATCAACTGGACCAAGGTTGTAAAGAGACTCTTAGCGTCACTTCTTATTTGCCTTATAGTGGCCCGTGAAACACTGGCTCGGGAGCAGCAAGCGGAATTCCAGCCTGAGAGACTGCGTTGACCAGATGCTAGACCAACGCCGTACGTAGGGACGACTCGCCATTTCTGGATTTTCAAGACACATTAGACTCAACTGAGAGATCCGTCCTATTTAACATGCTTGCCTAGCAAGGGATGTCGCGAGAGTTTGTGCATATAGTAAGTTCCTTGTGCTCAGACTTGTGGTCTTGTGAGAGTATATGGGGAGCTCTCAAAAAACCTCCGTACACAAAGTGGAGTCCGTCAGGGGTGCCCACTCTCTCCAGTTCTACTTAACTTCGTGATGGACGTCCTAATGAGATGAGGGCTAGAATGTCTTTTAAACCAAGTTGTCCAAATAGCTACTGACGAGAAGCTTGTGCAGCTGGAATATACAGACGATATGGTTCTCGTCTTCGAAGAGGAAAAAGTGGATGAACTGACCAAAGTTATCCCACCGTTTGGCATGCAATTTACACCGGTTTCGCAACATGGTCATCTCCTGTGTCTATTTAGGACATTCTCGGTGTGAGTTTAGGACACTTCGGTGTTTAAGGCGGGAAATTACTGAGCGGAAGGTCCGTGGTTCAAATCCAAACCAGACATCTCGATTGCTCCCGTCTGGGTTCCGGCAACCTGGCAGCACCTCTGTCCTCGTGTTTCCTAGTGACACGGCAACTAGACACCGAAAGGGTGTTATGGTTGAACGATTCCTTATTATTATCTGAGATCGCCCCAGACGCGTAAAGACCGCGTCATAAGCGCGTTTTATGCTTGAAGGAACGTGGGCTTCGAAACTTGCTTTATTCCGGTTGGCCCCATAGTGCACAAAGAAAATCATACCTTAACAGAATACATCGTACTCCAGATGACCAAAAGCGCGTTCGCAAGGATCCAGTGCATCCAATTTCTTGCACAGTACAGCGTCTGTGGAATCACATACGGTGGTTTACAGTACCAAAGGTTCTCTGGAAACATTTCCATCGTTTGACCTCTCTCTAGACAGAGCAAATTAGGTCTTAACGGAACCAGGTCTGTCGTCTGGAGGAAGCCAATATTCAGATATAGATAGCCTTGGACGCTAGTGAGAGAGCTACTCCTTTGCTAACCTGATCTTCCGTTACATCAGTCCTCCATCAAATGGAGGAAGGCGTTCCCAAAGCGCACACGACTGGTATGCTCCACCCGTTATGCTGAGACGGGTGCGAAAAACTCCTCCTTGGTTAACTGAGACCAGTTACACATTTTCCTTTCGCAGGTTAAACCTGATGTTTAGCGCACCCAAAGACTGGATAATTAAATTATCCGGCTCTCTTTGCTAGCATCAGTCGGCATCATTGAAAGTTGGAGCAGCTGAAGCCGGAAATGTCCCCCAGTCACTACATGCGTTCTTTAACCACCGTCTTTTTTTACTCTTGTAGTCCTCCCCCCCCCCATCAGGTCCTACTACATTGGGTTGTTTTTTCGTCAGGTGGGAACTGTTGACAGCATAATGAGGAAAAACTACTCAAAATGGAACTGTAGCTTTCACTGAGCGTGACAGCTAGGAGTAGTTGAACGACTATCATAATTATATTACTCTCCACACGTTGTATGGATTGACTTTAGAGCTCTTGTCCAGATAGACAGTTGACGGCCTTTTAATCTTTATCGCGTTGATTGCCTGATTATTTAACACCCCAAACTCAAACAATGCAACAATATCGTCCAGGAAATCACCAACGTCCTGAGTTGTCGCAAGGCGCAGAAAATCGGAAGAAACAGGTAATCTCAGCATCACTTCACACAACGCGCAGCGCAATCACATCAATGAATAACGGAAACCAAGCGAAACTGCTTACTCAGTGGAGTCAACTGACAATTTGATAGTTAGCATGACTCACCAGTGGTAGTAAGGGCCATGAAACAGCCCTGGGATACAAAAGCAAGCATGGCCCACCAAATATGAGCGGCCAACGGAAGCACAAAATCAACTAAGAATATCCCCGCGATTCCGACTCCAAGAAGACGAGTTGGTTTTGAGCTTCCTCTCATATCCAGCACCAAAGTACCCAGTAACCATCCCGAAAGACTGCCAACGGCTCGTGCACTGAATATTAGAGCCACCTCATCCTCACGCGACGAAGTGAATCTCTCTATATAAATTAGTGTGGCACCTGGAACAGCAACAGAGATGCCCTAAACAAATAAAGGGAAAACCGAAACTTACGATATAGACACCAATAACTATAAACACGAACCTGATTAACAGGCGAATTGGGTTATATGTGTCGCAGATACGCATTCTTTTAGAAACTCCTGACCTTCCACGCTCATCATCTGGTGCCTGCAACATTGAGAGACAGTCAGGAACAGGTTCAGCGTGAAGTGCGAAACGCCGCGCTGGTAGCGTGCGGCCCGCTGCGAAAAATGACGGGACGTCGAAAGCACGGCACTCTGATTGGTCAAGACACCTCATCGGGGGACGCAAAACAACGGCCGCCAAATAAAATCCTACTTTCTTTTACTAGTGAACCTCAGCAGATTGGTCAAGAAAAACCGAAAGTAGCTGCACACAACGTAATCACTGACAACATTCAAAGTGATATGTTCGCTGTTGTGCTCATTGCGTTCAGAATCGCAAGGTCTCCTAGGATAATTCACCGACCGCATCATTGCAAAGACGTTTGATCCATGAAAAAGCGGTTAACTCGTTTATTTTCACTGGATGGAAAGGCCAGTCACACGGTCCACACTACCTCAAAACTGCGTGACACAGCGTGCAACTTCGACATGCGCGCAATCAGTAAGTGTGGTGGTGCTATCGGTTTGCCTCCCCAGGTTTCTGTATCATCAGTCTCAGTAAGGAGGAACGTGACGAAGTGCGCCGGCGGAAATTGGAATCAACGGCGTATGTCACTAGAATGGAAAGTACAATTCACTGATGACAGACCTTCCATTGATGTCCAACGGTCATATCCTCGGGCACTAGTTGGTTTGTGACGTTCAGAATGCGTTCCACTCCCTCGCATTGTACGCTGGTGAAGCTCAGAAGCCTCTAGTTGCTGGAGGATAGTTAATTACCAGTTGTGTAATTTGGCATGACAATCGAATTCTTCCAAGCAGAGAGAAGAATGACTGACTAAAACATCAGTTGGAAATGCTTTGCCAGTAGGAGCAACGTTTCCTTCAGGATCCTCGAATGGACCTCGTCGAACTCCAACGCAATGAAGAGGTTTCAGTTGCGAAATTGTTAGGTTAAGTCTTGGCAAGATTGGCTGTGAGGAGATCGATGGGGCAGAAAATGCCTCTGCAAAGTGTTCTCTGCGGGCTTCAGATGCCAGTGTAACGGTGATACTACTGAAAGGGGACATGTGAGTAGTATGTTTTCTTCTTGTAAATTCGCTTTGCGTCTCTTGAAAAGGGAGGTCTATTACGGAATTTGTGGAGTCGCTTCGTAGCATTTACTTGGATTTGACCAACCATCAATGAATATCCAGGAGAGTTCAGAGAGACTTGCTCAAGAGAAAATGGATGTTCAGTTTTTGTAAATAAGATGCAAATGAGAGTTTTGCTTCCTTGTCCAATAGTTTGCAGCTGGTCAGTCGGCAGTTTCTAAGAAATAATTCCGCAGCGAAGGCCTTCTTCCTTCCATTTGGCGCCGCGTCCGGGATAAGGACGGAGATCCCGTTACCACAACCCTTTGAGGAGGAGATGTTCCGGCCTTCCTGGAGGGCTTTGAGGGTGTTGTGGATGCTGTTGGCCTGGATACCAACCGGGATTAGTTGGCGGTGCTCAAGACTCTCCTCAGGGGCCAGGAGAAGGCGGCCTCAGATGCGGCCAGAAGAGGCCCCGGAAGATAGACTGGGTCGCCGCGAAGGAAACCCCCGCAGAGGAGTTCGACGCGCCGGCCGACCGTCAGGATGCTATGAGGCGGTTCAAGACGGCCAAGATGGCACTTACATCTGACTCGACCGTGTTCTTCGCTGGCCTGCAGCAGCCGTTGGGTCGCGCTTTGCCTGGACTGGATTGAATGTCGCGCCACCGGTTGCTGTCCGAACAGTTCATCGGGGGAGAGCAGTCCGCGGTTGGTGCCCAGTTGCGGTTGGCGAGAGCGACTGACCAGTTGTGTATGGAGGAGCTGGTGCATCTCTCACGGGAATGGGCTGAGGCATTACTGCCCGTGTTGCAGCCTCAGGGGGATAGAGATGGTTCGCCGTTGGACGAACTGCGGATTAGATTGGACCAACTCGCGGAACAGCTTGCAGCCATGAAGACGCAGTCGCGGAGGTGCGCTCAAACGATCCGGTGCTACGCGTCGCAGGCCTGGCCACTGAAAGAATTAGTGTTAAAGAATGGTATAACCAAAGAAGAAGCCAATGGTGCGTACTATTCCCCAGTTGTACTTGGAAGAAAGGCGAACGGAAAATACAGGTTTCTCGTGGATTTCCGGTGCTTGAATGAACCGACCGCAAATCGGGTTGTAGCTGTGACTTTGTTGCAGATATTTTCATTCCCCCAGCATTCCTGAAATTTCACCGTGTCCGACTTACCTTCCGGATACTGGCAACCTCCTATCAAGGCCGAGGACCGGGAGAAAACGGCGTTTACGGCTGGGGACACCCAATATCAATTTAGAAGAATGCCGTTTGGTTTGTCTGCGGCACCATTCACATTCCGGCGCTTGAAGCTTCGTTTAACGATGGGACTCCAGAATGTTGCCGTGTACGGAGACAATATCGTTGTGTACAGCGATTGGGAATCGAAGCACGCAGTTCACCTGAAGGCCGTATTGAGGCGCGTCCGGGGCTGTCCCACGGATAAATAAAGCCAAAACACAGCTCGCTCGGAGTTCGGTGACACTGCTGAGGCATAAATTGCGTCACAGAGAGGTTAGGCAACTGCCAGAGAAACTAACAAAAATCAAGTATTTTGTTTTTCTCAATTCAAAACGGTCTTTCGGACAGCTTCTTGAATGAGCAGTATACTACAGCCGGTTTGTTAAGAATTTCAACACGATCGCTGCGCCACTGCACGACTTGCTCGGGCAAAATGGGAAACCGGAATCGACCACGGAAGCACATACTATTAATAATAATAACAATAATAATAATGTAATAATAATGTCGCAACTTGTGCGTGGCATACCTTCGGGCATGATCATGCGTTTGCAGTCAGAATGGGGCATGTGACTGGGAGGGTGTGCCTAGTGGAGATTCCGCGAAAAGAAGACAATGTTATGAATAGTGAGGAGTATTCGATGAAATAATGATAACAGGTTTCTTTCGCAACTTGTAGGGAACAATGGGCATGGGGTCCGACTAATCCAAAGACTCAGTCGGTTGACATGAACTAAAACTGGAAAGCCACTGCTGGCCACGAGTGACCTTGGGCGGTTGGGTAAATGGCTTGAGTCATAACGAGATAAAGGGGAGGTGGATATGTGATAATTCGAATTGGTAGAACATGGCAAGTTTAGTCTCAAAAATAAATCTGAGGACAAACAGACTCACTGGTTGCACTGTTGCAGGAAAGTTAATTGCTGGGGTTAGGTTGGATGAAGACACAAAGGTAGTTGGATTCGAACGAGAAGTCCAACATGTTGGAATGAATGCCGTGGTGGTGGTTGGGGTCAATGAATCGCACAGGCAAGTGGCCTCGTTTGGGAGGAGGAATGGAACAGTTGCGAGTGTGCTACCAAACTGAGTATGGCAGTGCCTTGCCATTATTGGCCTGACGTGCTTCAGTTTTTGAACAGCCCCGTGATGGACGTCACATTTGAGATCATTCGGCTGGGGTGTGCAGTTCACTGGGCAGCGTTGTTCATTTAAGCCTGGTCAGGAGGATAAGATGGAACGAGGCCGATATTGGATTTTAGGTTTTTTGTGGTCCGCTTGGCGATCCCGGAGTTGTAGATCATAGGCCAGGTGGAAATGGTGTCAGCCAACCTGGTCGTCCAAAACGGGTACTTCTGAAGTTCAAAGCTTGGGAAGATGATGGGATAGGATGAGATTCGCAAAACATGGTGAATTTGTGGGGATATAAAATGGGATAATACGCATTAATAAAGACACTTAGGAGGCTAGCGACCAAGGGTTGAGTTTGGTAACATACGATATTACATTTCAAGGGGTCTAGTAAAAGCCGATAAAAGCGCGTAGAGGTGTGGTATGGAGCAAGGGGTCTAGTAAAAGCTGATAGAAGCGCGTAGAAGCGTCGTATGGGAATCTGATGAATAAAAGCTGGCGGGATTGGAATTCTAAAGTAGCTGGCTGATCTGGTGTTAATTACATGAGTTGGGTTATACCAGGGGAGAATGTGTGCGCAAGAGAAATAGTCACTAGTCCCCGAAGCATTGCTATCAGCTCTAATCTGTAGATGGTGCATGGCGAGTATCTACCACTAGTCAGTGTCTATCTCTGGGAGCGGTTTGTAGATGCATTCTATGTTTGGATGACGAAGTGGGCTTTGATGCGGAGTAGCATCTGTTGTGACGAAGGTAGATACAGCTATACTCGCCGATGTAGACCATGGGCACTTGCAGAGTATCTTTGGGCTATCCCAAGTGAACTACTTTTTTATTGTTTTTCTCACAGATGAGAGGCCAGTTTATTCATCTGTGGTTTATGGCATTGCCAGATGCATAACTCAACCGAAGCGAGCCCAACAACAGCAACAAACAGAAGTCAATAGTGCTTTTTTATTTCCTGAATTTAAAGGCCAG